AGCTGTGGTGGTGGTGAGGGTGAGGGGGGGGAGTTACCTTTGTGCTCCAAACCCTTTTACACCACCCCACCCTTAGAGATTCAGAGGAGCTGTGTTCCTGGCCCTGGGCCTCGGCACGGGGGGGCAGATACCATGTGGGGATGGCTGTAGCAGGGCATTGGGGTTGTTTTAGATCTTTGGATTTTTTATTTTTATTTTTTTACCTCCCCAGGATCATTCTGGGTGTATCACTTATCCCCCCTCCCCAAAAAATCCAACCCTCACACCACATGTTTCTTCATTTTCAAGAAAACCTGCAATCCATCAATTTGCCCCAGCCTTTTATTCAGATCAGCATGGTGTCTGCTCCAATATGGTCGCTCTTGACAAGTTGATGGAATGACAGCTGCATACCAAAAGCTATAGGACCCCAGACCCCCGCTTGATAAAACCCCCACCATGATATTACACAGACCTTCAGATTAGTGAAGTCCATCACTGTTTTTACCTGCTTTACCTTCTCTGTGATGTTTGCCTGTAGGCAGCAGTTGCCTGTCTGTGTGTGTCTGTGTGTGTGTGTGTGTGTAAAGGTGAAGTTTAGCCTGCAGTAGCACAGGTGTGCAGTATTATTGAGGGCGTGGCAGAGCCTGTCATCAAACAGGTGTGTTACTTCCCCCGACAGCAGACGGTTTGATTACATGACTGTGTATGTGTTGTAAGAGAGAGTGTGTATTTGTGTGTGTGTGTGTTTGACCTAGTAATAGAGGCAGAAATGTAAATCGCTACACACGTGCGTGCACACACACACACACACACGTCTCTTCAGCTACTGTTTGTCAAATGTTTTCTTGGCTCCTTGTTCTTGGTTTTTCAACATCTCCAGTGTTTTTGACCGTCTGTATGAAATCTATACATTTTTTTCCATTATTATTATTATTAAATAAATAACTATATGTTACTAGTCTAGGCAGTCAGGAACACGTCCGAAATGGCTGAAATGCAGCTCCAAACCTTCACGGAGCTTCCACTGAGCCTCACTGAAAACACGCTCTTGTCACGTTGTTTCTTGTCACATTGTTTCTTGTTGATTGTCGATTAAGTCATGATGTAGTTTTGCGGTTTTAAGTCGCTCCATTCCAAGTCTGTCCCATTGAAATGTTTTTTGGCTGCAACCGTTCTCCTGGGTCTGTGTTATGACAGGATATCAACTATTATTCTTATACGTCTGCTAAAGCGAGCGCTTCCAGAAATGCAGCTGTCTGATTGGTCGATGGTGATATCGGCATATCGTCTATGAATGCAGTGTCTCTTTGGAAAATTCAGACCACGTCAGTGTTCAGGTGTTTTAGGAATGTAGTTTTTGTTTCATATAAAATATATGCAAACTATTATAATTGAATCAAATCTATTAAACACAAAAAATAACTTCAAAATCAAATCACCATTGGCCAGATATAGACGCCCCGAAATAC